CAGAGTCCAATCTTGTAGAGGTTGGACTCTGCGGGATCTGAATTGAGACCCCCGTCGGGGTAGTAGCTCACACACCACCCCAGCAATATTCTTTAGCTTTGTCCAACCTGATCTAAGGGCTCAGATTGCAGTTAGGTAGACTCACTACTTACTACCTCCATCCTCCCCCCCCAAACCGCCCGGCCCCATACTTTGTCTTTCTAACCTTCCATTGCCACAAGGGCCCTACTCAACCCAGCTCTCTCCAGAACCCCTCCCCTTTCTAGAATGTGGGGCTCGGTCCACAGTGGGGGTGGCGGGGGGCAGAACACAAGTGGCCCCATTCTCCTTACTCTCCGGCCCACGGCTCCCACCCGGGGTACCCAGGTGCCCACGGGACCCGCGTACCGGGCGGCTGCTGGCCGCCCCCGGGGCGGTCTGTCGCTCGGGAGTCCGGCCAGGCCTGGGGGGCGGTGCTGCTGGCCGCCCCCGGGGCCCTGCTGGAGCCCGGCCGCTCCCGGGGGAGCTGCTTTCTGCTTTCTCCCTTAAAGGGCCGGGCGGGCGGTGGAAGGGGCTTGTGCAAAGGCTGCTGGGGCTGTGCTCCCGAGCCCGGAGGAGCGGCCCGGGCTGCGGAGGGCAGATTAGCTCCGGGCCCGGGCTGGTTCTCGGCGCGTCTAGGAGCTTTAAGATAAAAAAGAAAATTGGCGTGTTCGCAGCCGATAAAAGGTGGTTGTTGCTGGTGTGTTTTGAGTTTTATTTAAGCTTTCGTGGGCTGGTCGTCTGATGCGTTTCTTTTGTATGAATTGTCAGATAGCGATGCCATCTCGATGTGGGGACTAAAAGTAAAACTCCTGGTCTAGTGGGGCCGGGTTGTTAGGTGGGCTCCCCCACCCACCCACTCTCACCCAGGCGGCTTCACTTCCTCCCTCTCTCCCTCTCTCTGACCTCTTCTGAGGGCTGTGCTTGAAATTTCGGTCTCGGGATGGCCCGAAGCCTCCCTGCGGCAAACTGGGCTGCACTCTGGGCCCTGGGCAGCCCTGTCAATGGGGCACTCCCACGACGTCCCTGGCCGGCCGGCTGCTCGAGCCCCCAGTGAGTACTCCTGTAGGCAGGCTGTGGGCTCCATCTGGGAGCCCCAGCCACTAACCCCGTGGAGAGGAGTGTGGTGTCCCCTCTCCCAAGGTTCCCATCTCCCCAGCCCTTTACAGGGGACAGAGGGTCTTAAGGAGCACAGCTCCGTTAATTTTTCTCTAGGAGGTAGGCTTGGGGGAACATAAGGGTCAAAGAGCTGGGTTCTCTAGCTGGGGCACATCGAGGAGGGTACCAATGGACACCTGACAAGGTCTACCCTCCCCACTGGGCCACATGCTTGCCCTGAGTATGGGGGGCTAGGGGAAAAGCAACGCGGATGGCCAAGAGCCCGCGAAGCTGATCCCACGATGGCATTTTGTTTTGAACTGTTGCTGGGTTGACGTTTCCTCATAAGGTAACTAGACAGACGACTGTCACTGGACGGTCGGCTGCCCAAATGCCACATATATAATTAGCCTGCGCACTCAGCACCTCTCCCCTGAGGCCCACGGGCACGGGCTTGGCCACCAGGTCCCCTCAGCTCTGTTCTCGGCGACAGGATTCCTGAGGGAGGCCTTGGCATCTGGCAAAACGGTGGCAGTGCAGTCATGGCTTTGATTGTTCCCTCTTTCCTTCTCTTCCTGTTTTCTTCTCTTTCTCAACCTGTGAGGGAGCATGACTGGGTCGAGGGGTAAACTGGACAAGAGGGCAGCAAGTAGCCTGGATGAGTGTACTGAGGTAGACGGAGGAAGACTGTCTATATACCTGTTTTTCACCCCAAGGTTGGGGGAAAGGCGGCTCCCTACCCCGCCCTCCGCCCCCACCTCCCTTCTTCTCAAACTCAACAGGACCAGGCCAAGCTTGGCTTTGCATATCCTGCCTGGAAAAGCGGCTTTGACGTTCAGTTTGAACTGTTCATCTGCCTGTGTACTCTGTCCTCGTCCTCTGTCCACAAAGATCTCCCTGCAAGTTAGTGTCTGTGCCCTTATTGCAGCTTCTGGTTTCCCCCTGGAGGCCTAGCGGATCCAGGCTTCTAGTAATCACTGCAGGAGACTGGAAGGATCTTCACGGACTCTACCTGTCTTCCTTCTGTTTGGTTTGGCCCTCAGGAGAGCAGACTTGGCCTTTCTCTGAGAGCTCAGATTAGTACTCAGCTTTCCAGATCGCTGCCTCAGGTTGGTTTTAGCCCACCCTCTGTGGCAGAGACCAGGTATGTACAACCTTGATGTGATCATGACCTTCCCCAGGCACCTGTGCAGTCTCCTTGGAATTCAGCACTCAGTATTAGGCACCTGCATTAGTGTCCCTTCTCCCCTTGTTTCTAGACCCCTCAGACATGCTTGGTACCTACTAGAATATTCTCTTTATTTAAATCAACAACAAGCAAGCCTTCTAAATCAGCCACAAGTTTAGTAGAACAGGGTTACCTTTTCTCTGGCAATAAGCTTGCACTAAGCATTCACCTTTCTGATGGGAAGTTGGATTTAATTTTTCCCCAAAGAAATATTTCATTTTCTTTTGGTGGTAGAAAAATTGTAAATGATTTATTTGGAACTAAAAAGCAAAACAAAACAAAAAACCCAAAGAAACCCAAAATACCCATTGTACGTGAGTTGATTCCCATTTCACCAGCTCATAAATGTATTATCTTTTAAAGAGTATCTTTCTGAATAACACATAGGGGAGCCCATGGTCAGTAGACCAAATGACAAGTAGGGTTTTTTTTCCCCATACATTTTTGCAGACTCATAAATCAAGTGTTTGTTTCTATTCTAGAAAAGTAAAATAAAAATCAACC